GGGAGAGGGGCACCACAGCGGCGGCGGCGGGGCCCTGCCACGCCTCTGAGGCTTTGCCAGAGCAAAGCCTCAGAGGCGCGGGACCCCTCCGCCTCCCCAGCTTTGCTCCAGGTGTCCCTGGTCTGCTGGAGACGGTCCCCAGCAGACCAGGGGCACCCAGAGCAGCTTTTCTCGCCCCGGAGGTCGAGGTGGTGGGAGAGCTGCGCTCTGGGTGGTCCCACTGCCTGCGAGCTCTGGGGCGAGAAAGCCCTGTTCGTAAGTGCGGATCCGACTTAAATCGGATCCGCGTAACTCGGGGACTGCCTGTACTGAGGATTTTGATCAATACTGACTCAGAAGAAAGTAAGTCACCTACTAAATCATCAGTACGTATGATCTCCTTGGAGATCTTCAAACTAAGTTCTGACCAAGCTTGATGCAGCTTATTTTATGAGATTTGTTGTACCCACCATAACGTGGGACTCCTGAAAGGTAGATGTATAGAGAAATTTCCTGGACCCCTGCAACTAATCCGGCCTTTGGCTAAAGGTGAGGTACAATATTCCCCTCCTCTGTAACTTGTTTTCAGTACAAAAAGGTTTGTGGACAAATTTGCAAACAAGTCCAGCTTTATAATGTACATGATAGAAGAAACGGTAGATGATAAAGAAAAATGTGTGAAAAAAGTACCTGAGTTGTTGTTAAACGAAAAACTGGACCACTTGTGGGCACTGAAAGTCGGGGTGAAATGTTGGTGGAACCTTGGGCCTGTGTTTGTATTTGAGCTTGAACTTGAGCCTGGGCTAAAGCCTGCTGAGGTACCATTACAAGCTGTCCAGCTTCGGTGCGCACCAAGACCATACCTAATGAAATTGATCAAAATAATAGTAAGTACTATGAATCGAACTGATGTGCAGTAACTTAACATGTTCCCTTCTTAATACATCATACATCATTCCTAACATGTTTATTACAGTATAAAATCAGATACTAAAATCAGAAAGTAGTTACTAGCAGCAGAAAAAAATATATAAATTACAGCTTGTAGCAACAATTTAGATGATATTTGAATAGTACAAATGCAACCAACCATTGGTTATCTGAGTGTATAAGAAAATTACAAAATTTAGAGGTGTAATTATAGAGACAGCAGTAGATCAGAAAGAACTAATCAAGTTCTATAAAATGGGTTCAGCAATTCAGAGTATTTGGTATGAGTATTCTGAAGCTAATTCATGACAATTTTACTAAAATATTTACACTCATTTTAAGGCAGTCACAACCACAAAATCAGGGAGCACAGTAGATAGAGCTAATTAAGAACCAAAACAGAACAACCTCTTTATGCACCATAGGACAGAGATGTGGAAGACCTCATAAGCATTATAAGTATCAGGGGAAACAAGCTAGAAATTACCTAAATGCCTCAACAAAAAGAAATGTCATCCAATACTTTCCGAATGTGAGCAGTATTCAACCGACAGTAATGAACTCGAGATAAAGGCCTGCTAGCAAAAATGGTCAGTTACAACAAACCTCACCCTGGCTTAAGTCTTCTAGATCAGCTGGACAGAAAAAGGGAAGCAGCAGCGGATATTGGACACCAGAAGACTTAAGACAGTGGTCACCAACCTGTAGATCGGGATCTACTGGTAGATCTTGGAGCCTCTGACAGGTGATCCTGACCAGTTCGGATGGGAAGCTGTCAAGTGCTGGCACTTCAGTTGTCCCTTCACTCACTGTCATGCTGCCCCTGCTCTCTGCCTTGGAGCTGCCCCCTGGAGCCTCCTGCTTGCTGTGCACAGTGTGGGAGGGAGAAAGAGGGGTGCTGATGTCAGGGTGTCCCTCCTCCTCCCACTCCTGTACCCTATCTCCACACAGAGAGAAGGGTATGGAGGGAGCTTGGCAATGCAAATCTCTGTCACTCTCACACACTGTGTTGTTGTTACTTCTTTTACTGCTTGCAAAGTGTGTTAGTTTGAGTTTTGTCTGGTCTGTGCATTTCATAATTTTCATTTCTCTCTTATGCTTAAATTTAATTCCCTGAGTACAGGCAGTCCCCGGGTTACGTGGATCCGACTTATGTCGGATCCGTACTTACGAACGGAGCTTTTTCCACGTCTCCCCCAGCAGACCAGGGAGACGCAGAGCAAAGCCGCGGAGGACGCAGGCTACGGGACAGCCCAGACGCGCCACGGTCTCGCCATAATTTTCATTTCTCTCTTATGCTTAAATTTAATTCCCTGAGTACAGGCAGTCCCCGGGTTACGTGGATCCGACTTATGTCGGATCCGTACTTACGAACGGAGCTTTTTCCACGTCTCCCCCAGCAGACCAGGGAGACGCAGAGCAAAGCCGCGGAGGACGCAGGCTACGGGACAGCCCAGACGCGCCACGGTCTCGCCACCCGGGTCCTCCGCAGCTTTGCTCTGCGTCTCCCTGGACTGCTGGGGGCCCCCCGCCGGCAGACCAGGGAGACACGGAGCAGATTTTCTCGCCCCCGAC